GTTCGCTGCTGCATAACCTTAAATCCCAAGCAAGATTTGAGGGTGATGAGAAATGTTCCAAAGGGTTTGCACAGTTGAGTCCCATCAATCATTGGGTCATCAGAGCCCTGGACCCTAAACTGGCCCTAAACCCTAAACCCTAAAACCCAAACCCCAAACAGGGCCTTGCGTCTCATGGCCTCCAACATCCTTGAGCTCGGACTCCTGAATGGAGCAACAGTTCTCTTCCAGGCAAATGAGAGACAAGTGGTTGCAGTCCAATGCTCTGAAGTTATATGACCCCAAGATAGACCCAGATTTATATACCCTATCATATAGTAGTAGTTTCCATTTTCTTTTCCATTCTCCCTAGATAACCCCAATATATTTTGCTGTGTGGCTGTGAAGGTGCTGGGGAATGTGGCCATCCCTGGACTTGGGGGCTACTTTACGTACCTCATTGCAGCTCGGATGAATGGAGAATCAAATGGAAAAGAAAATGGAAAATGAAATGGAAACCCTAGGTCCCTTTAAAGGGGTATATAGGGATATTACCCCCAATAATGGAGAAAAATGAAATGGAAACTGGGATATATAGGGGATTACAGGGGTTAGGGTTAACGGAAAAGTTCTTGACTTGAGCACGGACACTTCTTGGTTGGCTGAGGTGCGTCACTTGGAGCAGTTCAATGATCCCACTTCAGAGCACTTTGTAGCGCAGCCCGACATGGTGGCAGTTGGCAGCTTACTTGTGTAGGGTTTAGGGTTTAGGGTTGGTGGCGTGCAGGGCGGTAGTGGAGCAAGGGATGCGACAGAATCCTCGCTCCCGGGACAGGGCAGTTGTTTGAAAACCCTACCTTCATTGCCTGACACGTCCCGTGAAGTGTCCTGATTCACCTGGAGCATTGCAAATAAATATAGTAAGAATATAGGGAATTATCATAATAGTAGAGCTAATAGTAAAAATAGCAATAATAATGGTAATAAGAATAGGGAAAATAGTTGAAATAATAGTAATAATAATTTAAAAATATTTGCCATAATAACAGTAATAAAGATGTTAAAGATAAGAGTACTAATAATAGTGACAATAAAAGTAATACTAATAATAATGATAGGCATCCGGATCATCTGTGTGGTTCCTTTCAGGTCGTGGGCGCTGTGATATGCTTTGCGGTCTCGTTGGCCTTCATGAGCATCTTTGACACGGCCGGGGATATGGGGATTGTCGTAAAACAAGCTTGCTCGGAATAATAATAGGAGTAGTAATAGTAGTAGAAATATTTATTAATAATAATAGTAATAATAATTGTAGTAGTAATAATAGTACTCAAAATAGTAATAATACTAGTGACAGTAGTAGTTCTTAAAGTCAGAGACGCTTTCAGCCATGGCTCCTACCATCTGCAAGGTCTCCGATGCCATGATTTACGCGTATATCACAGATGAGGAGTGGAGGCGTGACTGTTGTAAACTCCCCAGTGCCTTTCTTTCAAAAAGCATGCTGGGCCGGCAATGATCCCTGGCAAACAGCAAGTTGTCAGGCGAGAGAACCGTCTGCCTCCGAACCCCAACATCCCTCCGACTCTGTTCTGCAATTGGCTGCAGCTCTGTGTTGACCACGAAAATCCCCCGCTAGGGCTTTTTCGGTTGGCCATCTTTGGCGGAATGAAAAGTGCTGAAAGTCATCAATGTTTCTTTCATTTATGTGGTTGTCCCTCTTTTGCGGAGCGTGCTTCAACCCAGTCAGCTACGCGGAAAGCTAAGGAACTTGAAGAGTCTTCTTCCAGAGTCCCAGCAGATTGAAAACGAGTAGAAGGCCTCAGAGTGGTGAAAACCCAGTAGAGGTCAACTGCAATCAAAAAGGATGCAGTTGAGACTTGCGTAAGCAGGTTTAAGGTCAGGTCCGTGTGCCTGACCTTGCGTTAGAAGCAGTTCCTGCTTTCAAGCGCATGAAAGAAGGTTCAAGGTAATATGCATATATGTATATATGTATACAGATATAGGGATAATGGAAAAGAACATGGAAACTACCTTATAATAGGGTGAATACTGGGGTTACATAGGGATGGCATCCCTGGCCGGATCTTACCTACTGCCGCAGAACTGCTGTGGTGACCTATTGCGCTATGACTGAAACAGGGACCACGAAGTGGACCCTGCTGCAACGCTTTGGTTCGAAAGCATCTTCAGTGGTCATGGCCTCCTTGCTGGCTGTTTCCTGGCCCTGCCATTTCCTTTTCCATTATCCCCATAAAACCCCTATATAACCCCATTATAATAGTTTCCATTTTCTTTTCCATTATCCCTTATGTAACCCCATTATAATAGTTTCCATTTTCTTTTCCGTTATCCCCTATATAACCCCATTATAGTAGTTTCCATTTTCTGCCGTATCAGCGCTGAACTTGCAAAGCTGACCCTAAGTGACTTGTATTTGAACCTGGCTCACAGATTCCGTTGCGGGTCTTGCGCCATGTGCGCTGTTTCTATTGTCCGGGTGCGGTAGCTTTGTTGGGCAAAGGCATTCGTGGCTGTTCGTAAGTTTGCCGGTTGCAGGGAGCACCAGATGAATCAAGACCGCCTATGCATCGGCGTGCAATGCAGTTTCGAGCCTTTTGAATAAATCAACCTCACAACTTGGCATGGTCGACGAGTCGCCGAGCCCCAAACTTCCACTGAAGCCGCGCAGTTGCATCGGAGACTAGACTGTCAGCCAGATGCGACCTACGACTACAGTCGGAGTCTGGATGTTTGGAGTAATCACGGCCTTGCTGTTGCTCAGGTGTTCCGGGCTTATCCAGCAGCAGCCAGGGTCATCAGTTATCAGGCATGACACAGCCGAGGACTTTCTCACAGCTGCAATCACTGCAAGCACCACTGCTGCCAACACGCCAGCTCTCCGAAGCTTGGCAGCTCCTCATGAGAGATCCGCAGGTTCTCCATGTAAGAAACCTTGACCTTAAATCACAAACCCAACTACCCTACAACCGCTATATACCCCAGTTTCCATGTCAGTTTCCATTGTCTTTTCCATTTGATTCTCCATTATTGGGGTACTATACCCTTAATTTGGTGTTATATAGACCTCATATAACCCCAATATACCCCCAATATAACCCCGATATAACCCTAATATAACCCCGATATAACCCTAATATAACCCCACTATAACCCCAATATAACCCCAATATAACCCCGATATAACCCCAATATAACCCCAATACAATCCAATATAACCCCTACCCTATAATCCCAGTTTCCATTTCATTTTCCATTTTCTTTTCCATTTGATTCTCCATTATAGGGGGATAATATCCCTAAACCCTGAAGTACAGGGACTTATAAACCCTAAACCCTAAACCCTAAATAGTAGTTTCCATTTGATTTTCCATTATCCCTAGGGTTAAACCCCAATAATATACCCTGAAGTACAGGGACTTGCCATGAGTGGAAAAGTCCAACTGACGCGATCTACCACGGTGCTTCTACGTGGGGCGCCTTTGTGCAATCATGCCAACGACTCTGCCGAAAGTGTGCTGTTGGTCCTGGCGCCGAAGGACACGGGCGCTCATCACTAGCTGCTATAGATTGCACTTGCATAGGGATCAGAATCCAGTGGAGTATGATACGATTCGTACGCGGTGGAATCCTCTAGACAGACTCCATACTACTGTGTGCTGTCCCTCACAGGCCATGCAGTCGGAGCGGGTGCGGATTCGGCTTGAGGAGGAAGATGTGCAAACTGCAGGTGACCTCCAAGAGCTTGACAAGGACTGGGCCAGCTTCTTCCCCTTCATCACCAAGACACACTAATCCCAGTTAAGGGTTCAGGGATTTAGGGCTTTAGGGCCTTAGGGTAGGCCGTAGAATGAGAACTTTAACACATGCAACGCATGCCACCTCTGGCATGTTCCTTGCGGAGTTCAGTCAGCCCTGCAGATCTGGCTGCACATCACCTGGGCTGCTGTAAATTACGCTGCCATAATATGAGATGTAGTCTAAACTCCGTAAAGGGGTTTATATAAGGATTTCTACAGGGGACAAGTACAGGGGTTAGCACGTGGGATACTAGGAGTTTAGACTATAGCTCATATGTGTACATAGAAATGATAATAGGGTGCCCTTGCTATAGTAACTTAATTTAAGTTGTTTAACAGCAACCCAGTCATTCGTTGCTGACGGGGCATGTGTTGCTGCCATTGGGTGTCAGATGGGTTGTTCTCAAATTCATGGGCCCCTTATGGTTACAGATTATATTTCCGCACATAATATTAAGGGGTACCAAACTGGGACCCTAATTCTAGGAACTTCCCAGATGAAATCTATCACCCCCGCGCCCCATGGCCTTGGCCATGACAAGAAATAACAGCAACAATAAAAGTAAAGTAACAATAACAACAAATAATAGTAGTAAGAATAAGAACAGTAACAATCCTAGGAACAGTAAGGGTAATAACAGTACGTTTAGTTTGACATTGTTTAGATGCGAGATGATGCGAGTATTTGTACTCAAGTTGGTGCTGCTAAAGCCCAGACTTCTCGCAAGGTAGGACAGCGAGTTATTCCTGTACAGAGAAATTAAGGTTTCCTTGTAGGGGTTTAGGGTTTTAGGGTTTGAGTGTTTGGGGTTTAAGTACAGTTGCATTTCACAGCCACGCTAGTATCACCACGTCCACCACTCATCATCGGCAGCCTCCGCCACCACCAGTATGATGACAGTCATTGTTAGTTCCTTCCCCCATTGAAAAAACCCAAAACCAAGTACTCCCCCAACATGTCATGGCAATATACTGGGAATATCTGGAACCCTAAACCCTAAATAGTAGTTTCCATTCTCTTTTCCATTATCCCTACATAACCCCAATATTACAGTAGTTTCCATGTTCTTTTCCATTATCCCAAGCGGCTGGGACCCTAAATCCTAAACCCTAAACCCTAAACGATTCCAGGAGGATCTGAAGGAGCTTGGCCTCAACATGGTTGAGAGGAGACGTGTCCTTCGGTGGGCCTCCAGCCCATCTCCGACACTTGGCTTGGGTTTAGGGTTTAGGGCGGTTCAGGGTTTAGGGTTTAGGGTTTAGGGGCTTGGGTTTGAGGTTGGGAGAGCCCAGACACCTCAGAGGATCTAGAAAGTAGAAACCTCCCTTATGGTACCCTATACTACTATTGGTTAGTCTCTAGGAACTCTTGAGGGGGATCTACTTTCTAGATCTGCCCGGGGGTCTGGGAGTTTGTAAAATCCTGAGTCCAACTGAATTTGTGGCTTCTAGGATTCTTCAAGGGTATGTACGGGTCTGGGTGCATCAAAGCCATTGCTGTCTTCTGGCGGTACCCTCTTAACAGTCAGGACTAAGAATTATTCTAGAGGCGATCCTGGAGAAATGCTCGCATGAGAGTCCAGAGAACCTGCTAAGCCACTGTTAGTGACTTTCGATGAAAGGCTCGATGGAATGATGATTGAGCAATTATTCGTACCGTTAGTATTGGTACTCTTATGATGATGATTATTGTTATTACTGTTATTGCTGTTATTATTTTCTTCTTCTTACTCGTATTACTATTATTTGTGGGCCTACGGATAAGGATCCTTTCCCAGCCAGACGTCTAAGAGGAGCACGACGCAATGTTAGGGATAATCTAGGGGAGTATCCTAGGGGGTATTCAGAGGGGTATATGGGATCATATAGGGAGAGGAGTAACTCCTCAAAGGGGGTTGTGAGAGGGATTATATACAGAAGCATTGATTGTAGGGGGTATTAAGAAGGGTACTAGGAGTTTGGATTATGGCTCAGGTAGCAGTGATGCACATCAGCGGTGTAGCAATACAATACTAGTACTACTGATGACGGCTGCCTTCTTTTTCGCTTACCTAGACCGCTAAGAATATTGTGGTGATGATGTTGGGAAACTGTCGAATCTAAACATCAAAGGCCCTTTTAAGAGGGGCCCTCTGTAATTGTTGAACGATGTGCAAGGCTTGCAATGCGAACCCTTCGTCTCCGAAATGTCCAACATCCTGCACTAATATTAGAATGTCACTCATGTATAGAATCGGACGTCCATGAGCTGTTTTAAGCGGGGTAGGAAACAGGATTTTATCTATGAACCTTGACAACATGGAGTTTGACACCCCAGTTGCAATTGCAAATGAGCCTTAAAGTGGCGTTGCACAATTTCTTGTTGAATGGTGTATGTATCCTGATCCTCTATTGGCTTGTTCCGCGCCCCCTAAACCTCAAAGTCGTATTTCCAAAATAGGGTCCCCGCTTCAGGTTTACCAAATATTTCAATCCTTGGCATGGGAGCCCCCGAGAACCCTGCCCTAAACCTTAAACCCGAGAAGGGCAGCCCCAAGTAAGGATCGATTTTCTGGAGAGTCTGCAGCCTCCAGACGAACGCCGATCTGCCGAAGGGCGGCCGCTTCAAGCTGTGGAGCAGGAGGGTGCATGCTTAGGGTTCGGAGCTTAGGATTGTGCAGGTTTCCAGGTATAGAGTTTGCGGGTTGGGAGTTTCAAGTTCCAGGGTTAACGGTCTTGGGGTTCAGCGTCCAGGATTCAGCTTCAGGGTGCAAAGGTGGAGGGCTTAGGAACTATGAGATTGGCGTCCTGGCCGGAGATTGCACGCGTAAGATTGAGGATTTAGGATTGAGGTTAAGGTGGTGGAGCAGGCATTCTTGGAGCTTCCACATGTTCTTGCCATTAGCTGTCTGGGCCCCTCTCATCATTGGCCTCCACCACACTAATGCGGAACCCCTAACGGGGCCCTGGAGAAGCGAAGCAGTCCCTGTCGGCAACTGTAGACCTCTGTCTTTCGCTTCCATGTAGGCTGGGGGTGAGCGGAGTTCCTGTGATTATGATTGCCATTAAGATCGCTCGGGTATGCTCGGGTTGTTGCCTTTGTCAATTATAACATGGCATACCGCTGCAGCTGCAGGTAACAGTTAACACGGCTACGAGCATTCCTGGTACCATCGCCATGCTGCAAGGTTCTAACGTTTGCTACTGCTCCGCTTTGATCCAGGGAAAAGTGCCCTTCCAGGGGACCACAGGGTGACACCCGCAGGCTCTCAACGAACTGGACATGTGGTATTCGCTTGCGGATGCAACCTCATTTCCGGCCATGATCTCAGAATCTCAGCATACCTGGGGTTGTTTCACCCGGGCTTCCACTGCCCTCCATACTACATGGTCACAAGGTTGGGGCCTACTATGCTTCACTAGGCATCCATCAAGCAAGGAATGCAGAAGCCTTGCAGCTGTCAGGTCAACATCCGCCAATTGCGGGAGTCCCTCAAAGAGCACCAGAGATTCCGGCTTGGGGAAGATGATTCAGCAAAGATTGCAGCGGCTGACTATGACGTGAAATACTTCAGCATGCATGCTCGAAGTATCAGAAGCTTGGCTGCAACAAGTGCAGAAAGCATCTGGCAATGCGTCAAAAACGTGCAGGTTGACCCTTGGTTATTGGTTCTTACTGATCTTCCTGAGCCTTTAGAGCAGGAGAAAAGTGGCTTGACGAGCATTTTGACTTGACTGCCGAAAGAGTGCAGGAGCAGCTCAGCTGGATACTGGGTACAGACGGCTCTTGTTTGACGCAGTAAAGAATTGTGGATGCTTAAAATCCTGCATGAGGTCCAGGATCTAGGGTAATTACTTAAGGTCATGCAGGATGTTTAGTAATCACCGTATGACTTGCTGCGCAACTTGCGGGCCACAGTCGCAGATGTTGTCCGCTGTGCGTCGAATTGACTAGGATGTTCCGACGAGTTTCAAACGGGCTCGAGATTCGGACAGCTGAAGAACTTGTCGAAGGCCTCATTATTGCGGAAATACAGTCGTGATAATAACAGTAATTTGTCGTAATAATTTCCAGTAACAATAATCACTGCCAGTATTACTATCCCAAACCCTTACACCCTAAAACCCCAACCCCCAAAACCCCAATCCCTAAGACCCTGAACCCTAAAGACCCTAAAACCTTACAACCCTTAAACCCTAAACCCCTAGACCCCTAAACCCTAAACCCTAAACCCCAAGCTCAACAGGCTTGGCCAGAATTGGCATCACATGCCAAGATGTGGGGTCCTTGGCTCCGCCTTTCAAACTCATCATGGGCAAAGGCGACAAAGGCCAGCATTTAGGGTTTAGAGTTTAGGGTTTAGGGTTAGAGTTTAGTGTTTAGGGTTTAGAGTTTAGGGTTTAGAGTTTTTGGAGTTGAGGGTTAAAGGTTTGAGTTTCAGGGAGGGGGACGCTGTGGATGCTAATCTTTTTTGTAATTTTGTTGTTAATCAAAACTTTTTTGAAATGTTCAGAAAGGGGTTTCTGAAATAAAGCACAACACCGTCTCCATAGTCTATTCATTTCATAGGAACACAGGTTAGAGTGTGTGAACTGAAAGCACCAAACCTTCTCCATTGGAGGAGAGAACTCAAGCTCCAGTTGATTCTGTTGACTTTTCGATGCAAATAACAAGAACAACCCGCAAGGAACTGGAGCTTCCCCTTCTCTCAAGTCAACTGTATCTCTCTTGAGATTTTTCTGTGGAGAAGAGCGGATTCTTTTCTGTTTGTAGGAAAGGTTAGAGCGCCTGAACTAAAACACCAAACCTTCTCCAGTGGAGGAGAAAACTCAAATTCTGTTAACGTTTCTACGCGACTAAAAAACAACTGCAAGGAACTGGAGCTTCCACTTCTCTCAAGTCAATTATATCTCTTTTGTTGTGGAGAAGAGCGGTTTCTATTCTGTTCATAGGAACACAGGCATGGTTCTAATGGCTGCCTGATTGGCGAGATGTTGGTTGCTTTGGACTTTATAAAATAGTTGCACTATGTTTTCATGAAAAACGCTGGCGCGCTCATTGGTATCAGTCATGCCAACATGTCAAATGCATGGGCCCACAACAGTCCCACCTCTGGTAGTTAGTAATCATAGTCCCATCTGTGGTAGTTGGTAATCATAGTCAAACTAGTGATGGCAATAAGAGCAATAATTGTAACGGCAACGCTGATCATAGTGGTATTAAGAAAAATGAGAGTAATAATGATAGTAGCAATGACAATTGTCATACTCAAATTAGTGTAATCGTAGTGATAATAGTACACGTGTGACATTGACAGCAGAACTGGTAAGAACACTAACATCTAGATAATGAAAACCCGTTTCTCAGACTAAGCTCTCTAGTGTAGGGAGGTAGTAGTCATAGTTAAACTAGTGATGGTAATAAGAACAACAGTTGTAATGGCAACACTGATGATCGTCATAATAGAAATAAAAAGAGTAATACTGATAGTAGAAATGGTAATAAAGATAATAATCGTAGTGAAAACAGTAATATCAATACTGATCAGAACAGTGAAAGCTAAATCATGCAAGCCCCTTTCCCAGACTGAGCTCTCTAGTGTAGGGATATATGAGATAGGACTGCCATGGAACAAGTTTAAACAATTATATTGGATAAGACAGGGCCACCAATTTCTTGTACAAACAACTTTAGTTGTTTTGTGGTGTGCGGATCAAGGGCCAAAGATGGTTCCAAAAATTGTTTGCTCTGGAATGAGCTAAAAAGAAAGACTGGATTAGGTAGTGCCACCCAAAAATCAATTTTTTGTTGTTTTTTAAATTCTTTGTTGGGCGGATCAAAGATCAGAGATGATTTCATTGTTTCTCTGATTTAGGTACCCACCATCTCAAAAAATTACTGGAGGCACTCCAAGTTGCGACCCACCAATGCTAAGAAGACACCTGAGCAGGTTTAAACATCGTGTATTTCTTATGTGTTGCGTAAAGCTATGTAAGCCTAACCATGACTCTACATCCAACGGCGTTAATATCTCAGCTGCATTCTGGCATTACGGAAAAAAGTTCAGTAATCTCAGTA